ACCGATCCTGGCCTGCCCCTGAACCGCACAGCTGTGTTTGCGCCCCCAAGTGCCATGATGAAACTTGATGCAACACACTTTTAACTTTGCAAAGTGGACATTCCAAACCTCCATCAACAATCTCCTCGCTGTGAGGTAAAAGCAAGTCTGTCAAGTCAAGGGCAGCAGTTTCATCAAAGGGTGGAAGAGAGATTAACGCCACTGGGTGTGGCGCAAGCACGGGCTGACAGGTTGGAAGTTCAATCGGGCACTGGCACCGCACCTCATGGCTTCGTGTTTGCAAATATTCCACTGTCAAGATGTTCAAGACTCCGAGATCAATGGCAGCAAGCTTTCCCAAAAATTCCAAAGGGTCTTGCTGGCGATCAAAAGTAAGCTGCAAGCCGCGCAGTGGCTCGGTCCACACCGGCTCCAAATCAGTCGCCGATTCACGAGGAGAGCTCACAGCATGCGTTTCTCGCAAGGCACACTGCCAGCAAGAGCTTCCACATTGTCTGGTCTGCTGGTGTTGAGAGATGGAATTAACTATGGGCAAGCATGCAAACATGGACTGCAGCAAGCTAGCCAGCCAACAGGATGTGCCCGAGACGTTGGGAAACACGCCGCGGAAAGAGAAGCCTGCGACGGAGCACGACGAAACGGACGAGCGTGAAGTCCGACCCCCCACGATCTCCAACCCCGCCTGCGGTGTTGCCGTTGGAAACGTGAGCTGCTTTGTTGCGACACTTGCGTGAAATGGTCCACCGGAACGTGGTCAAGACTTGCGCTGCAGCAGTTCCAAAAGGAATGTGGGGGCTGAGGTCGGACACGCTGTGCACAACCTCGCAAGTCTTGACCGTTCTATATGCCTTTGCAAACTTTAAAAGGCCTGCAGTACCAACGGCTGCAAGCTAAGCATGGACCAGCCTCGAGCTCCAGCGCCGGCGCCATGGCGCGGTTGTCGGAAATCTCGCGCAGCCTCACGATGTGCAAACGCAACAAAACCAAAGACTAAACACAGTCATCAGGACCGGACGCAGTCGTCACCAGAGAACGTCGCCACGCCCGGGTGGGGCGACCCCACTGCTGCGTGTTGCCTCACACGAAGCAAAGCAGAAACAAAGACAGCCAACCCCGCAGGTGTACAATGACTAAGGCCCCGGCACCACGCTATGTCGAAGAACAGCCCGAAAGGACACTCCTGTCAAAAGTCTCATGCGCTGGCAACCGAAAAGTCGGCGCGAGCCACACCCAGCCTCCTGCGCTTGCCTCCAAGCAAAATCCAGAAAAGCATCATCCTGGAAGGGCCGAATCTCTGCAAGAACAAACCAGCCGAGCCTAGGAAAGTGGAGTATACGAGCATCCGATGCACACAGCGCAGCTAACCGCCTCCGTCGTGGTAGCACACGGGCCACGAGCACGGCGGCGCCTGACTGGATAGCAGGAACCGAGCATGTGAAAACCACGTCTGACACTGACGGACCTGTGCTTTTTCTGGGAGCACGGGGTGGCCTGCCGCGGACGTGCCATGAAGAACCGGTCCCACCCCGAAACGTCGCGCAACTGTGAGGCTTCGACCGTGCGAACTGGCTCCAGGGCTTCCTGTCACAGCAAGACAGCAACGAGCAACGGCTGTTACGCTGCTACGCCCTTACAGCTCAACATACATACTCTGCACGGGGCCTGTGGAACATCGTTGCACGGCACATGGATCCACCCCACCTGGCAAACGATTCTGTAGCAAAAGCGGTCCAGGCGTGCACGCACTGAGGCCCGGACAGGGGGTTTCAAGGTGAGGCTGCAGCCCCAAAACTTGCGGAGAAACCTGTCCACGTCGAACGCCTGGCAGCGCCGCGCGCAGTCATCGCAGCAGAAGTTTGCAGCGCAACGGGCCTCCAAATCGCAGTCAGGATCGTCCGCCCAACGCAGCGCCATCAGGGGAGCCTGGTGGAAAGCACCGGCACGGAAAACGGAAGTCAGGGAGAAGCAAGAGCAACTGCAAGAAACTTCTGAGAGTGCGGCAGTGGAATCTGCAGCCCCGGAACAGAACAAACTCTAGAACCAGAACTTGCAGCAAGGGAGGCACCAACGGACATGCAGAGGGCAACCGGGGGAAGCGGAAAAACGACAACGCTTGACTCGCACCGGCTGAGCCGCTGGCACTCGAAGAAAATGACGGCAGCGCAGCCTTGGCAACAAGAATTGGCAAAGCCCCACCGCTGAGTGAGAAGCCTCTGGGCGCCAAGCTCCGCGACCAAAGCTCCGCGACCCAACGCGAAGATGACGGCAGCGCAGCCTTGGCAACAAGAACGAGCAAAGCCCCACCGCTGAGTGAGAAGCCGCTGGGCGCCAAGCTCCGCGACCAAGCTCCGCGACCAAGCTCCGCGACCAAACTCGAGGAGGATGGCAGCGCAGCCTTGGCCGCGACCAAAGCTCCGCGACCAAACTCCAGAAACAGCCAGGCACGTTATTTGAGCTGCTGGCCGCTGGCGTTCGAAAAAAGTGATCAGAAGGCAGCCTCGGCTACAAGATTCCACGATGACAAGCTAAAGGGGTACCGGCGCAAAAAACACCGACCAACTGTCGCAAAAAACACCGTGGCTGGAGCACCGACGCAAAAAACACCGATTGCTGGTAGACAAAACACCGTACAAGTTGACTGTCTGGAAGAACACCGATTACTGACGCAATAAACACCAAGCCCGCCTTCCAGCGCCGCTCCGACCGCTTAAAGCCGAGGGCGCTGTCTCTTCCTCTTTCATGGTCCCGTTCGTTGGCTCGCGGAAGATCAGCATGTCCAAAAGGACCACCAAGGGAGCAGCAAGCAAACTACCTCGGATTGGTCTGTGATGCTATTAACAAGGACGCCATGCTCGGTGGAGGCCATCGCAAAGTAGGTTGGAGGCCATCGTTACGGACGGCCTCCAAGAAGCTACGAACGGTTGGAGGGTTCTTGCAAACTACCTCGGCTCGGTATTGGACTATAGAGCCGTTGGCCGAGGGCGCTGTTCATGCCAATGCCCCAGGCCCTACCTTTTTGGTCTAAGCGTTTTCTATGCGCCATTGGTCTAGCCAGAAGCCTGCATGCCTCAATCTTTTTGGCCCAGCTGACCTGTGGTCCCAAAACCCATTTCCGCTGCACATCGTCTTAGGCAGAAACCCAACGATCGGCAAAACCTGCGAAAAACACCTGAGGCTCTTCGTGAACTACCGTGTGAACTACAGTTGTCCTCCAAGGTCACTTGCTATTCATTACCACCGCGGACCCTCCTCCTCCTACTATTACTAGTCCTATTCCTATTCCTATTCCTACTCCTCCTTCTTGAGATGCTGTAGATGGAGCATGAAAGAAGCATGACCCCCCCGCCAAGACTCAATGCCCCAGTTATTTGTAGAATGGATGTTGCTACAACTGCAAAACACTTCCCCGCATTGTGACCTCCCCATCCCAAGCAACGGCACATAAATGGTCTCACCATGCAACAAGAAAGCACCCACCCCGCTGGGCCAAGGCAGTGATCAGGTCTTACCCGAAGTAGCCTTCACAAAGAAACACCACCACCGCCTTCTGGAATTGAAAGGACAACATCCTCCAAACCTAATCAGTTTGTGTTGCTACAATTGGAACCATCGCGTGCGACTGTCACGCAAACCCTGCGCAGCCGGCGCGAACCCGGCGCGAACCCGGCGCATCCTCTGCGGGTGAGGCGCCCAGAGCTGTGGTCCAGACCATTGACCAGTTCCTGTGGAACGTCGCTGGCCAATCAGCGTCGCTCGGCTCACCGGTGTTCGACTATCCGTTCCCTTCGATTCGCCGGTGGGTGGGTGGGTGGGTGGGTGGGTGAGAAACTCTCTTCACCGAAGTCGGGTTCGGCCAAAGTCAGGTCGCAGTGAGTGCTCGTGTGAGATGGGAAAAGCCCATGGGATGGGCCGCTGTCCACGCACCAGGTCTGGGTCTTAAGAGAATAACGTTCTAACGATCGGAGGCCTCAACCTCTGATTCAAAAAGGATGAGATGAAGCAAAAAAACCCAGCCTTCCATCATCTTCACCCAAACCAAATCACTTTCTCCATTTTGGTGCCATCTATGCCATCTATGCTCCCCCTCTATCACGACCACCTGGTCTGCCTAAACAAACAAACAAAACCCACGGCATCGCTCTCTCTCTCTCTCTCTCTTTCTCCCTCTCCCCTCACCTCACGCCGATGAGGAAGATCCCAAAGGTGCGCAGCAAATTCGGCACATCCATCAGCTGCGGAAGTCCCGTCAACGAGCACGCAATGTACGAGAAGCCTCTCCGACCGTCAAGAGCGGAGGGTCGTCGGGTCGTCCGGTCGGTTCCGTTGAAGCGGCGAAAGCGGTGCTTTCGCGGTTAGCCAGACCATTTGGCCTGGAGCCGAGAGAACAGATCAGCGATCATGTATCGATCGATCACTAGTTATGATATACAGTAGATGTATATCCCAGAACTTCCCATGACCCAATTTACTTAACCTGGTAGTCATAATCCACCACTACCATAGGAGGAAAATGGGTCATTTGGACTTCTAGGGTATAGTATTTAAAGTCTATAGTAGATGTTATAGTATACATAGTGGTAGTACGAGTAGGATCGAGTAGGTCGTTGCGGAATCATCCGCTATTCTGTTCTCCAGGTGACATCCTATCACAAAAAGATCAAAAAGAGGACACCACTCATTCTCCCCTCTCTCTCTTTCTCTCTCTCTCTCTCTCTCTCTCCCTCTCTCTCTCTCTCTCTCTTTGGAAGTAAAGGAAACCCCGTGTCCATCAACGATTGTCGGCGTCCAACCCTTCAGATGCGCTGACCACAGCTGAGAAAACAAACTTTGGGGATCAAAACAGCAGAAACAACACGCGACGACGCTCGCTGACCGCTGCTCAGCTGATTAGATATCCTTCAGCTCCGAATCCCTTTCGGCGGGAACAAACTCGACCTTGCAGGAACCCTCCGACTTGGGAGGGTTTGGGGTGCCTAAGGGGGAGGGCCGCCCCAAAGGGGTGGTGAGATGTGTTGGAGAAGTGGAAGCCTATGGACAATGGACATAAAACCCCAGCAATGAGCAATGGAGGTGATTGGAAGTGTCAATCTCAGCACCACCATGGATGTTACATCCAGTCCAAACCAGTAATTAGATTGAAGGGGCCGAGAAAATGACACCCCAAAAAAAAGAAAAGCTGTGAACTTCAACCTCTCAACCTCTCAACCTCTCAACCTCTCAACTCTTCTCCGCAGAAATCCAGATCTTCAGGTCTTCACCGAAAAGGCACGCGGCGTGGCGCTTCGTCTCCCTCTCCTCGCCCGCTCCCCGCTCCACAGGGCTCCGGCCGGCCCCGCCTACGAGCACGGGCACCGCCATGCTCCTCGGCGTCGCACTTCGACCGCCATGCAACGGCCAAGACCGTCGGTCAGACCGCCATGGAGGCGGACGCAAAGCGGTTCCAGTTGGACCCTCTTCGGTTCCGACAATTCGGTTCCTCCCAAAGTCAGGTCCGAGAATGTAAGGTTCGTGTCTTTTGATGGTCAAAGACACTCACTGTTTGTTTTTTTTAGACTAACTGCATCGGGACCTGGTGAATACTTGACAGTGGGTGGAAAAAGGTTGGTGTTGGAATTCGATGGGATTATACAGACCCAAATAGAAGATCAAATAGATAGAAAAGTCAATCCCCACTAAAAATCGACTGAAATCGTGCTACTATCTCTTTGCCAACCACTATAGACATCACATGCTATCTGTCCAGAGCGCTCCGGAGACAAAGGCGGGTCGCCGCTGCATTGTGTCCAATCCAAATGGCATGGTGTTCACTTGTTTTGAGACACCTGGACGATATCGGGGCTTGCTGATTCAGTTTGTAAGAATGGTCCCAAATATTGATGTTCGCATCCGTTTTTCTGCTCTACACCCAAATCCATCTGTCTTCTAATCCATGTTGAGGGTTGCAGGACGAAACTCTTATCCTCCTTCCTTACTTGTGGAAAATCGGATTTAGACCTTGTAATCCTTATATCAACCCATTTGAGGGACGCGATCCAGTACCTTTGATGCCCAATCACACCAGACCACGGAATCCTTGTCCCTTGTTCTCTTTCTCTTGGTTGCCCCCTTTTTTGTAAAAAGTCCAAATTCTCAACCAATGTGCTGGATCTCGCCCAGTGAGAATACCAGTCAACCAATATTTTCTGCTGGAAAACCAATTGCCAGCTTGAGAACACCAAAAAGTCGCAACCATCACCTCATCAATCGGTTGAAGGAGAATCAATCAAGCAAAAAAGATTGCCTTCGAAACTTCGAGGAGTGTTTCTACAACAAATCGTTCCAACTCATCGACTACGCCTACGCCAACCAAGCGCATGGTTTACCAGGCATCTTATGGCGATCGTGTGCCCAGATGGGAACGAAGATGATCACCATCGACAGCAGAACCTGGAAAATGGATGCCCATGGCTTTCGCTTCACAAGTCAGGCTACGAGTGTGATGACATGTCAGGGAAGAAGGTCAAGGCTTTCGCTCCACAGGTCCTTTGACCTGATGGCTTAAGACGCTGAGGACATGCACGGACGAGCAGCATGCAAGAGCAGCCTGCTACCTGCAGGTAGGATCGTCTGCTGCATGGCCATGTGGAAGTTGTCTTGCAAGCACGGCCTGGCTCCAGGCAGCGTGTCAGCAGAGTGCTGCATGGCCATGGCGGGATTTCACCCAAAAAAAAGAAGTGATGAGAAGTGGTTGAACCCAAGAACCCGGTATCTCTTTCGAAAGGTCCAACCCCCCAAAAGAAGGGGAAAAGTGGGCGCTTCAGCCTGAAGTCCCTTCATGTACATCCGTTCGTCCCTTCGTATCCCGTATCCCTTCGTCCTTTTCAACATCTTCACCAGTCATCACGAGTGAAATCACAAGTCGATAAACGTCAACGTGTCATCAACATCACACGACCCCCATGGTTGAACCTTTTCCCCAACAGTCCAACTCGGTTTCAGCTGCCACCCGTTCCCGCGTTGGCGTGAACGGCGCCACGCCTGCCCACCGCCACCAAGGCCAGCAATGCCGCCAGCAGCGATGCCAGGAGCTGCATCACCACGAAGACCACCGCGCCTGGATGGCACGGTAGGTGCGGCGTCTTCCGCATCAGCGGATCGATTTGGATCCCGATGGAGTCGGAGAACGCGGAGAAACCGCTGCGTGGAGACGGGGCCTTTTAAGGGATTTTTTGTTTTGGGGGGAGAAGAAGGAAGAACGCCTCGCCGCGGAGCGATCATACTGTTCAAGGAATGTGGTCGCACCAACTTCAGTGTCATCTTCCAAACACATGGTCCAAACGGAACGGAAAAAACTGCGAAGGTACATCAGCATAGGGTCTCCTTTAGGCAATTCTTGCTGCACACTTTCCACTTCACCTGTCAGATCTGTCAGCTTTTAGAAACAGCTTCTTCAAGAAGTGTGTCTTCCAACCCCGTTTGGAACCTCACAATCCTCGAACTTCACGGCTTTTGAACGCCTCGCGTTCGTTCCTTTTGACACTCACCGCCACCGAAAGATCCTCTCGTCACCCACGGCTGTTCACCGGTGTCCGCCGCGGCGTCCTTTACCGCCGCGGGGCGCTTCAGTGGCATGCTCCCACGCAGCGCCAGTGCCAAGGTCACCTCAAATAACGAAATCAGAAAGATCCTTCGGACGATGACGCAGACGTCATTTTTTCAAAACGACCCCCAACGTCGTAAGTGACGACGAAGTCGGACGACAACTTCGTCCACGCTGGCAGTTCCGAAGACCTTCCCCATCTTCCAAATCTGGCATCCCACCCAATTCCAGGCGGCGTTTGCCTCAAAACCTGGGCCTGCGATTCCAGCCATTGAAGGGCATCAAAACCGGTCGCCCCCCAGTTCGGCGACCCCCCAAGGCGATCGCGTGCGCGAGCCCTTTGGGTCTCCTTCGACCATTCGACCGCGCATGGATCGATCCATCAAGCCACGGCCGGATTGAACTGTCCCCCAAAGTTCTCGGCCGAGCGATCCTCCTCTGCCTGGCGGTCGACCGACAGGGTCACAGGGTCGACCGGGTCGACGGCACGGAGACTGGGGCGGGGCGGAGCGAGGAAAAGGGACGAAGTAGACGATAGAGGGACCGAAGCTATAGGACACGAAGCAAGAACCTTCGGAGAACCAAATGATATTAAAATGAACCAAACAGAGAACCCTCATGAACTCTCATCAACGCATCACCCAAACAATTTGATGCTTAATGTATGTGTTTAACAAAGGTCTTTTCCACACACTCCGGGCCCCCCTTCTTCTCCTTCTGACCCCCTGCCCCAAAAGAGGGACCCCAGCAGCGATCCGCCCCGCGCGGCGCCTTCCGAAAGGCGAGTCCGTTGGCCACGGCCGCCGCAAAGCCCGTGGCCAGGGAGACTTGGACGTTCAACGTGGGCGGCGGACACGGCTTCATGGCGCCCTGCCTGGCCGACCGGAACCCGGCGAGGACGGCGAGGATGGACGAGACGTGTTCTTTTTGGAGTTGGGAGTGGCGGAAGTAGAGAAGCAGTGAGCAAAAGTGGAGGAAGAATGGTAGGCAGATTGCTGATCACTTTGTTCTTGTTCCAACACCGGGTGCCAATGCAATTCATTATAAAGTCACCTGTATCATTCCGTTTGTATAATATAATATAGCTCCCTGTCACGGATGCTGTACTTCGTAGCACCCACCCACCCCAGCTCCGCTCTCCGCTCTCCGCTCCGCTACCTGCCACAGCTGGCCAGGCAGGTCGTCGCTGAGAGGTGGGCATCCATGGACACGAAGACCCAGAGCAACGTCAACACGAACCTGGATCTCGGTCGGGAAACGTCACCGTTTTCGGGTCTCCCGTGCAACGGGGCTCCCGTTTCGGGACTCTGGGACGGTCTCCTCACATATAGTGCATAAGGAAAAGCGTCACGTGAATGAAACCCGAAACCGCTGGCGTTCATGGGTGCTTTTGGCTGCAGACCCGTGCTCTTGGTGCTCTTGTTCCACCATCCGAGAGGCTCTTGCGCAGCCAAGCGAAGCTCTTTGGACAATGGGCTCGTCATGGCAAAAGCAGCCATGGCGAAACTCCCTAAACGCTCCACCGGAAGCAGTCAGGACCGCCAGCAATTTGCTACACGACATGTTTTTCTCCAACGTGACGTCTCTTTCGCATGGGTCTGTTTGGCAAAACAACTATACATTCAAGAACTTGCTTGAACTGTTCCTCTTTTTTGAGCCAGCTATAGTGTCAGTCTACAAGCGCAATGATTACACCAAGCCACTTGATCATTGTGTTCTTGTGCCTACCACACTTCCTGTATGAGGTAGAAGAGTCGTCTAAGCAGTCCACATCAAGAGAGTTCAACACATCTTGCAGTAGCCTTTCAAGCCCTTCCAGCAAGCCTCCGTCTTGGACAAGGTCTACTAAAAACATTTAAAAAAGTTTAAAAAAGAAAAATGCAGAAATTACATGTCGTATGTCCACAACACCAAGTGGTCACTATAGATCGCTCCAGCCAGGCCCATGGCAACGACACGGCCCACCATTTCACTCCCCCAACAACGAAAATGGTAGAAAAAAAACGATGAAAAGCAAAGAATCGTTGTTTTCAGGTTGGGGGTTCATAAACTGGCAGGGTCCTGGTGGAGAGGAATAAAACCTGCCTGGTTTTCAGGTCAATGGCTCTGTCTGGCTCTGTCTGGCGTCTTTTTGCCAACTGGACCAGGGCTCGGAGTATCTGCGACCAGTCCGCTCTTCATGCCTGTCACGTAACAGTGAACGCTTGGAGCGCAACAGCGAAGGAATGACGAAAAATCCCACCAAGCTGTCTTTCCATGTCATTTCATGGTGATGCCCATGTGACTCCCTTTCTTTCCTATGACCATGAAGAATCATCTGTTCAATCTGTTCAAAGAACCGGCCACTGCAGGCTGTGTTTGTCCACCGATTCAACACCACTTGGCCGCATCACCTGCCCTGCTGTTTCTTTCGTCAGGCCACTGTCATGTGTGTTCTGCAAGCATTTCGACTGCAGCCATTTTATCAAGGCAGCCACAGACTTTGCTCCGGGCTCCTACCTGCTTAAGGCTTCGCCATGTTCCACCATCAAAACACTTCAAAACACTCCAAAACCCATCCAAACCCCACCCGGACGGACCCGCGGCACCTGACGGTCCAGCCGTCGTTGCGCGCACCGGGCGCGTCGCGCGCGGCCGCGCACGGCCGGGCGTCCCGGTCGTAGGGCCCGGGACGGGAGGGCCTGGAGAGGCCGTGATGGGAAGGGGAGGGGAGGAGTGGAGGAGATGTTCAGTCCTTGAGGTTCTATTGTTGGGATGTGTTGGGCCTTGGAATGTGCAGAATCTAAGCGGTCAAAGCCTTGGTCCGTGAGTTACTGGATTTGTCCGTGAGTTGGGTTCAGACATGAGGACTGAGCGAGCTGGTTCAGCTTCACCCGACTGGTTCAGCTTCCGTCGTTGTCTGGGTTCGATCGTAAGTCCAGTCGACTGCGTATCACTTGTTGGTCTCTGGGGACGAACATAGATAGAACAGGCCCAAAAGTGGCAAAGGTGGGGATCAACTGATTCTGATTCAGTTCTCCTCATTGGACCCGATGCTTGAGCCCCCAATCTGGCCTCAAAAGTAAAAGGGTCCAACACTCCATTCACCATCCCTCGACATGGATGTGGAGGGCGAAACAGGAAGGGGCGTCCACATGGAGTGTACATCACCTCTTGACCCAAACCCTTGAATGCCAAGTGTAAAGAAGGTGTAGGAGCGAAAGCCTCCTCATCTTGATACTTCCTCTGCAGGTGTGAGTCTTGAGTACACTCTTCTAAAGTGACACATGTCTGATCTCAAAAAGGGAAAGGCACGGAAAACTGTCGTTCCGGCTGTGTTCGATGCCGAGTCTTTGCTCAGTTTCCCCCGGGCAAAAAGAGGCACGCGATCCCAAAATTAAAGGGTTCTTTGGTGAGTGTGGAGTCATCCCCAAAGATGGTCCCTAGAAGAATAGAAGAAACTCTCGGAAAGGGGTCTCAGCTCATTTAGAGTCCCTATGATAGCTACTTGCGGATGACAGAAAATGCATCGAACACAAGCTCATCAAATCGTGTCCCTTTTCCGAGGCTCCAAGAGGCAAGTCTTCGGGGAGGTGAATCCAGAAACCATCGCCTTCGACTCCTTCGACACCCAAAATCATGAGATCCACCCCATCCTCCTCCGCTCAGCCCGCGGATTAGCCACTCGAAGATCCGCCACCCGCGACCCGAAGGGGAGCCTGGTGTCATCCAACTCCTCCCTCCTTTCATCTCGCTCGCGCCTGCCATCTCCTGGCACCACCCGCTTTTCCACCGCCCCAAACGGTAGAGGACGAGCGCTTTCGGACCGAGGACGGCCCGGAGGAGTTGTGAAAAGCACGCCCCGTCTTGGTGTCGGTTGTCGGTTGTGGGAAGGGTTAAGACACACCAGATGGTTTGTGAGTCATAGCCTATAGCAGCGTTGGTGACCCATCTGTACCTCCTGGCTGCTTCCATTCACGACTTCAGCCACACGAAATCCGCTCATCACGGGCATCGGGGACTGCAGTCATCGGCATCGGCGGCATCGACATCGCCCAATGAGTCGCGTCCAATGTGCAAAAGGTTGGGACCCCTATGGACCCTTCCGCTTCCGGAAAAAGGCCTTCTCAACCCGGTGGGTTCCGAACTTGTGGGTGTTTGGATGGTTTTTCTGCCGACCCAGACGTCAAGTGCACCGGATTCTTTACGATTCATCCGCACCTGATTCTTCCTCCACCCCCACCGTCCACCCCACCGTCGCGCCCAAGCACCCGCACCGCACCTGGCCGCGGCTCCGCGGCCGCGCGCCTGGCGACGGTGTGGGGAGGCGGTGTGGAGGGACGGGAGCCCTCGTGGGGAGCCCAAGAGTTGAGGAACGTCTCTCTGGACTCCAGGTACACTCCAGGTACACTCGCATCCAGGTATGTCTCTCTGGACTGGATGCGAAGAAATGGTACACATCCGCATCCGAACGTCTCTCACATGGAAATGGAAAACCGCCTTCTTGTAGGGCCATTTTTTCCACTTCCATGTGATGTGTTCGTCAGAGTGTAGTTCCATTGGGCCAAACATGGTAGTTCCATTGACACCTTCTTGGGGTTCACCAAGGCCTAGGTCCACACACCTACCTAAGTCATTGAGCACCACCATTGACAGTTCCATCCTCGACCAAACCTGGAACCTGGGAATGCGATGTCGAAGAATCTGCTGCGTAGCACCCGGTGGAGTCAGGTTCTCAGGTAGGTGCGCACCCGCTGGACGAGTATCTTACAATAAGGGGGTGGGTCATCACTTCTCAAGATCTGGTTTAACAAAAACAATGATTGCGATGCGAATTGCTTGGATTTCCAGAATGGGGCCGACATCACTGTGTAGATCGGAATGGAATCCCTCTCCGTGTGAAGGGTGGCCTTGTAAGAACTCCAAGTTTGTGTGCCAACCCCACTGGAGGACCAGCCATGTGCCACCTGTCTGCGCACCCAAAAACAATACCCGGAACCAGCTGCTTCCCACGCGCCTCTCGTCACGTCTCTGCTCGTCTCTCCTCGTTGGGTCCTCTCCATCGCTTCGCGCGTGGAGGCCGCTGCCCCACGGAGGACGTGGAGGACGTGGGTCTTTCCAGTGGTGCTCCGAGCGGGAATCGACCTTCAGCGTGGCCGCCGGCCTTGGATCCCTTCGATCGGAGACCGGTGCGGAAGTCATCTCTCGGTCTCCGAAGTCATCTCTCCTGTCACCTCTGTGGTCAACTCGTTCATCTCTCCATTCCTGCCTCCGACCTTCTGGCGCATCTCTTCTGTCTTCTGGTCTTGCACCACCCCAGAAATCTGGTCTCCTTTCTTCTCGGCCGGCATCTTGCTCAGTTCGCCTTTCACCTTGTCGGTCATCTCTCCTTTCACCCTGCCGATCAGTTC